GACAGGCGCCCGGATGTGGTGCCCTGGGTGGGGGCTCTCCTGGGGACGCACGGGTCGAAGACGAGGCGGGCGATATACTCCTTGGGCATGCGTGGCAGCTGATGGGAGAAGACATTCTGCAGCCCCACGAGCCAGAGCAACACCCGCCGGTTGGCCTTGGGTGTCAGCGAGTTGCCGATGACGTGGAATTCGATGATGCCGCGGCGCTCCTCCAGGCGGGCTGTCTCGTCCCGGGCTGCATTGGCTGACAGGAGGCTCGTCTGGGCACCAGAAAAGGGGCAGTGAGCAAGGACCTCAGGGCCACAAGGGCCGCTCCCCACCCCTGCTGGCCAGCAAGCCAGGCCGCCTACCTCGGGCCCCAGCATGGCAGCAGGGTCAGTGATGGTGAGCATGACCTCGTTGACCAGCTCCATGGGGATGTCGCCCATCACACGGAGCCGCTTGGCGTCCTCCAGGGTCAGGTTCTCTGGGAGCTTCCTCTTCTCACCTGCTGGGGAGGCCGGCAAGGTCTTCCAGGGATAGGCAGAGAGGCTGGGGGAGGGCTGAGTGGGTGTCAGGGTCAAGTACCCACCTGGCATGGGCTCAGCACCTCCAGAATCCAGACTCAAGGAGCTATTGCTGCCCCCACCCATGGTGGGGCTGAAGATGGGGGCGCTGGGAACGACGGCTGCACTGACTGCAGCTGAGAGAGACAGGAGAATCGGGGGGGGGGGGTTCCAAAGGTGTTGGTGGGTCCTAAAAGGGATCTGGACCCTCCAACCCCCAGCTGAGCCCTCCTGCATTTTTCCCTCCTGCTATTCGAAGCCCCTCTTCCACAGCGGGGGGCGGGGTCACCTGAGCTCAGCCAGGAAGGCCAGGCAGAGATCTTGTAAAACCTGCTGTGGCACATACCTGGCCGGGGCACCAGCTGGGTCCCCTCCGAGGGTGGCATGGTGAAGCCTGACTCCCAGATGGGAGAGTTTGCCCCGTAGATCTCCTCCTCCAGCATGGACAGGAATCTGTGGGAGGGTACAGTCTGTCCCACAAGTCTAACCAAGGGAGCAGCCTGGGCCAGACACCAGGGGGGCTGGAGGTGGGTCAGAGAGACCGACCCTCTTCTCAGGAACTGGGAGCCTAGGAACAGAGACAACCTCTGCCTTCGGACCAGGAGGAGGTACAGTCCCCTGCCTCCTGGGAGACCCCAGCTGAAGGTAGGAGGACAGGACAAATCGAGGACAGAGACCAGAGGCCCAGTTTGCCATCGTGTACAGAAGAGGGAGGCAGGGTCTGAACGGATGCCTCTCTGTACTGTGTGACCAGGCCGGGCACCAAATCACCCTGGGCCTCAGTATCAAAATGGGGTCAGAACCCACCCCCTCCTGCCACCTTACTCCCACCTGGTGGCAGAAGAGACACTGGAGGTTCTGGATTAGTCAGTAAAGGCTTCCTGAACGGGAAAGCTATGAGCAGGTTTAAAATGAGAGGAAGGTGTGGCAGAATAGAGGAAAATCCTTCAGAAAGAACTAGAAGAGGAGTGGAAATTGGTTTTGCCTCAAGTATAAGCTCTGGGTTTTTTTGGAGTGCTGTGGTGGGAAAAATTCTGAGGCTGTGTCCAGGCCCCGTGGGAAATAATTGGTATAAGACATATACCAACTGAAGACACCAGGGGTGCGGGCAGGGGTAGTGTTAGCACTCGGGCCATGTATCTGCCATCCCCTGACGAGTACAAAAGTGCTAACAAGTTGCGTCTGGGCTGTGGGAAAGTCGGCCAGGTAGACGCCCAGATCCCAGAAGGCTTATGGAGGGAGAGGAGGGACCAATCCAGGAAGCCTTCCTGGAAAAAAAGGGGCCAACAGGGAGGATGTGAACTTGGGGCACAATCCTGATAGGCCAGAAGGAGCCTTACTTGGGGAAGTGGGTGAGGATGAGGGTCCTTTTCTCGGGCACCAGCTTGTCCTTCTCCACCCGAAACTTCTCTAGCAGCTGCCGCCGGGTGACGGTGAAGATGGAGCGAAGCAGGCTTCGCCCGAAGACGTGAGTGGTCTCGTAGCGGGGGAGGCTATCGCAGCTCTGGGGCACGTGGCAGTAACAGAGCCATCTGCGGAAAGTGGGGAGGTGATGAGAGCGGAAACCGCTGAGCCTACGAGCGTCTCCCCGTGCTGTTCCTGGCTGGGCCTACCTGGTGTAATTGACCTTGTAGGTAGCCACGTCCTCAGCCTGAGACCTCTGCCGAAATTGGGCAGGTGTCTCAAGCTTCCAGTAGTTAAGGCAGAGCAAGAACATCTTCGAGAGCTCGAACATGGTCTGCCGCTCCCGGGGAGCCAGATGACTGAACTTGTACTGCACAAAGTTTAGCACACCCTGAGAAGGGGTGGGAGGGGGGACAAAACCAGGAAGGAGGTGTGAACAGCCAGCATGGGCTTCCTGTCCAAAACTAGGGGTTTGCTGAGGGCAGGGGCAAGGCTCTCCTCTCATTCCGAGGCTCTCTGTGAAGAGACACTATGGCCCCTCACGACCCCTATGCACACACTGAGGTTAGCACAAAACATCCTCCCTTCCTGGAACCTCTCCCCTGTTCCCAGTCTCCTCACTCCTCCAAGATGCCCCCAATTCTCTTGCCCCCTTCTTCATCCCACCTGCTCAATATTAGGCTTCTCAAATGGGGGGCTGCCCAGAGACCCCTCCACCACGGGCCGGGTCATCTGCAGGATGCATTTCCGAAGGAGCTGGAGGAAGAGGAAGAGGGAGGGGCAGAGGTCAGCAGAGATCAAGAGCTGCAGACCCACCGGCCTCCACCCCTTTGCTCACTCACTTGCACGTGGAGAAAGCTCACCTTGAAGAGGTAGAAATAGACCTGCTTGGTGTCTGTGTCTTCCTCCTTGTGAACAGACATGAACAGATTCTCCACATCCACCACCATCCCCAGCAGCCGGTTAATCTCCTCCTCTGACACATTCTCCAGGTGGGACACATGGTCCGCTGCAAGGACAGGTGGTAGAGTTGGGGGAAACGGACAGAAGAGATCAACAGGACGTCCGGCCCCTCTTCATCACCAGCCAAGATACACCCCGGTCCTTCTCTGACCGGAAACGACACTGACTATTCCTGTGTCAGCCCCTGGGTGGCCCCTTGTATTTCTGTATTGGCAGATTTCCTTTCTCCTCCTTTGGGGCATACACCCTCCCCACCCAATCCCTCCTTAGAAGGCACCCTCGGTTTTTAAAAGATGAAGCTCTGTGGCACTTAAGCCACCCTGCCCAAGCAGGAGCCAGCACCTGCTTCTCCCCCGCCCCAGCTCCAAGGGCACTGCCTGCCTTACCCAAGGGGTGCTCACAGCTGCGGCACAGCTCACTCAGGTTGGCAGCTGGCTGCTGCAGGTCCATGCGGGGTGCGGTGGGGGGCTTGGGGTTCTTCCAGCCATTACACTTGCAGGTCTCATTGGCCTGGAGGCAGAAGGATCCGTCAAAAAGCCTGTCTGTATCCCAGGGACGAACGAGGAGCCTCTCCCCGGCCAGAGCTTCGCTTCCATTGCCACCCGAGCCCTAGGATGTCCCAAACCCCGCCCCCGCCCCCAGGCCCAGGCGCCACCTTGCAAGCCGAGAAGACCCCTAGCTTCTCAAGCTTCTTGGCGCGCGGCTGTCCCCGGACTTGCGCCTTCCTCTGCTGGCGCGCTGCTGCTGGCTCAGGTCTGGTCGAGCCGGATCCTCGGGCTGACAGCAACCCCCACTTCCGAGCGCAGCACAGAGCCAGCAAGGCCTACCCGTCGCCTAGTTCTATAACCAGCAGGCGGCCTACTAGAGACCACGGACCAGGATGGCTTGGACCTGGTGTGAGGCTCTTGTCTCGGCCTTACAATCAGTCCAAAGTTCCAGGTCATTCGTGTTATTCTTCACGGAAGAGGGTAGAAGGCCCCACGCACTCGGTCCTGATACAGACTAACCCCCAACCCCCAAAGAG